AAAAAAAAAAAAAAAAAGAGTTAAATGAGTTAAGAGGGAAAACTTTAAATAAAACATCTCATTAAATCTGTTATTACTCGTTATGAACATATGACCACATACAATAAAATCAGTCCAGCTTGAAATAGTTGGTGGAAGACCTTTGGAAACAGAGTATAAATGATTTTAAGCTTTCTGACCAATTAAAAGAAATTAAACACAGCATGCGAGAGAAAAATGAACTATCTAATGAAGGCATCTTTGGCTTTTTTCAGGAATAAACTGAATAATAAAAGGCTGTTGAGAGATAAGAGGCAGAAAAAGAATGAAATTGTCTCCAGCAGACAAACAGGATAACCTGAAAGTTGGAAGAAGGAAGAGTACTGCTCCTTCATTACTATGTAAATTACAATGTATACATAATAATCACTGAACACCATACTCTACAGAATCTGAAAATAGATATGACAATGTAATTTCTGCCTTTAATAATGACATCTCTACTCCATGCTACTTGAATACTTACTAATCTAAAAGAATTATCAAAGATATATTTCAAAGTGGATATATCAGGTTGTAGAATAATGCATATAGTGTCATCACTCTTTTAACAATCCAGCCAATCAACAGATAAAACAGTACAACCCAAAGCCCTCTGATCCCCAAACCATTTTTTATATATGTGTGTATAAACATGAAGGACACTCACAAGGCTTGATGAGTTTGAGTTCCTTATTTATGGTGGGGTGCAGAGAATAACTTTTTTCTTTAATCATGTTAGGCCTTGTTCCTTGTTTCAACAATCATGTTATACTTTTGCAATTGAAGAAAAGTAATAAAGAAAATGAAAATTAAAAAATGGAATTACTACTGAAATAGAAAACAGAGGCTAATTGGGCTTAAGCACAGTCATCAGAAAGAAAAATCCTAGAGTGGAAAACCAATCTGCTCTGTAAACTTTTACCCAAATCACAATAAAAAAGTTTAAAGAAAAATTAAGAAGACAAATCTAACTGCAAATATAAGAGAAAAGAGTCCTTATTTTAAGGAGAGCTGCCCAAAGAATCTTTAACAGTCATGCCAAAAAGCGAGTCTTTGATAATTTTTGACAAGATGTTCCTGAATATATTATGCCAGCAAACACTGAAAACTAACTGAATCACTTTATTTTGGATCACAAAACTATTCACTTAATTTCCTGCCAAACAAAATAAGGGAAATGCATGCTTTGTGCTTTCAGACAAAATGCCTTGTTAGGTGTCTTTTTATTTTCTTCCAGGAAATAGTACTACATTTTATCAATGTTCAGCACGTTTAAAAGGAAAGGAAAAAAGGTTTGTGAGAGAAGACTGAATGTAGTTCTAAGCAAGGATGAGATAGGAGGTAAGCTTGCACAGAAATATGTGATCCCTCACTTTTGTCTTAAATTTCACTTGCTGAAATTCAAATCTAAAATGCACTTTCTACTATATAGCATATACTGAAAAAATAAGGCAAATCTATTAAACTATTAAACGACTAGAACAAAAATCCTCAGTATTGTTACAAACAATTGCTATAATTCTATTTATCACATACATAATTCTATTTATCATATACTTGGTCAATGCTGGTGAAATTTAATGTCAATATATGATATTACTGAGTTTATCAGTGAGTAATTCAAATAACGGCATAGATGACAAATTCAAACCTTAGTAAGTACTTACTTTTACAGTTTCTTCTGTGTTAAGCTTATTTCCCTTAACCAAGACAATTTGGAAAGGGTGGTTATTTTCCCAAACATGCTGGAAAAGAATAAAATAAAGTATTTTACTGAAAGAAATTAATAGTCTAGACTAAAAATGACATTATCTTACTAGTTTTCATGCCAATCAATTAATAAAACAATGAAAACAATTCTAAATTAATAATTGAAAATCACATAATAAATTAAACATCATATCCACTGGCATTTAGTTTTCATGACAAAACATCAGCAGCATTCCACTGCTATAAAGAAATAACACTAAAATAATAAAGGATACGAATACATTTAGTATCTTAATTATAAGGGAATTGTTAAACATATAATTTATTAAGATTAAAACTATTTTATATGTTAACTTTTATAAGTAACTTTTCCAATGAATAAAAACTTGAAATTTGTTTTATATAAGTATATTACATTTTGGGAAAAGGGGTAGTTTTAATATACTTAAAAGTCTAAAAGGATTCAGTAATACAAAGAAAGGCACATTACACCAAAACCACTTCTATCACTAGGCTGACAGAATGAAACATACAAGTTGATTTACTAATTCTGAACATCTAACTTTTCTACTACTTGTTGTTAGGTGCCATTGAGTAGGTACCAGTTCATAGCGACCCTATGTACAACAAAATGAAACACTGCCCAGTTCTACACCAACTTCACAATTGGTGCTACATTTGTGCCCATCGCTGCTGTCACTGTCCCAATGCCATTTTGTTAGGGATCATCCTCCTTTTCTCCAACTCTCCATTTTACCAAACATGATATCCTTCTCCAGGGAATGGTCTCTGCTGACAATATGTCCTAGTATGAGAGACGACATCTGGCCATCTTAGCTTCCAAGGTGCACTCTGTACTTCAAGACATATTGGTTTGTTCTTTTGACAGACCATGGTACTTTTAATACATCAATTCTTCTACAGTGTCCCTATTCACTGTCCAACTTTCACATGCATATGAGGTTATTGAAAAGATCATGGCCTGAGTCAGGTGCACTTTAGTCCTTAAACTAAATCTTTGCTCTCCAACACTTTAAAGAGGTCTTGTGCAGCAGATTTGCTTAATATAATACATCATTTGATTTCTTGACTGCTGTTTCCATTGAGTGTTGATGGTGGATTCAAGCCAAATGAAGACTTTGACAACTTCAATCTTTTCTCTGTTTATATGGATGTTGTTTATTGGTCCAGTGGTGAGAATTTTTGTTTTCTTCATATTGAGATGCAACCCATCCCAAAGGCTGTGGTCTTTGCTCTTCATCAGTGAGTACTTTAAGTCTCCTTTGCTTTAAGCAAGCAAGGTTGTATCATCTGCATGTCGCAGGTTGCAAATGAGTCTTCCTCATATCCTGATGCCATGTTCTTCTTCATATAATCCAGCTTCTTGGATTATCTGTTCAGCATATAGATTGAATAAGTATGGTGAAAGAATACAACCCTGGTGCACAATTGCCGTAATTTAAAACCACTTGGTGTTCCATTTTTCTGCTCCAACAACTGTCTCTTGGTGTATGTACAGGTTCCTCATGAACACAATTAAGTGTTTCAGAATATTCATCCTCAGCAATGTTGTCCATATCCTGTAACGATCCACATAACTGAAAACCTTTGCGTAGTCAATAAAGCACAGGTAAACAACTTTATGGTATTCTTCTCTGTTTTCAGTCAAGATTCATCTGATGTCAACAGTGATATTCCTTGTTCCATGTCCTCTTCTGAATCCAACTTGAACCTCTGAAAGTTCCCTGTCAATTATGGTTGCAGCCATTTTTAAATTATCTTTAGCAAAATTTTGCTTACATGGGATATTAATGATATTATCCAATGATTTCCTCATTCCAATAGGTCACCACCTCAATTTGGAATGAGCACAAATAAGATTCTCTTCTGGTCCACTGGTCAGGTAGATGAGTGAGTACCTCCAGTGCTGCATCAGTTTGTGGAAAGATTTTAATTTGTATTCCATAAATCCCTGGAGCATAGGTCTTTAACAATTCCTTCAATGTGCATTAGACTTCTTCCTTCAGTATCACTGACTCTTCAAATGACTAAACATTAACCATCTCTTTCTGATACAGTGACTGTATTCTCACCATATTCTTTTGATGCTTTCTGCATCATTAAATATTTTGTTCATAGAATTCTTCAATATTGCAAGTCAATGCCTGAATTCTTTATTCAGTTTACTCAGCTTGAGGAATGCTGAGCATGCTCTGCCCTTTTGGTTTTCTAACTCCAAATCCCTGCACATTTTATTATAGTATTTGGCTTTATCTTCTCGAGCTGATCTTTGAAATTTCCTGTTCAGCTCTTGCACCTCTTCAATTTTTCCATTTGCTTTGGCCCCCCTGCGCTGGAGAGCAAGTTTCAGAGTCTCTTCGAACATCCATTTTGGTCATTTTTTGACAATTTCCAGTTTTCCTAGATTCTTACTTTGTACATTCCATGTTCCTATTATTAATGGATGTTTACAGTGGTTTCTCTTCATTTTGAATTGTGTCCCATCAGCAAATGAAGGAGGTCAAGAAGGTTTTAGTCCATTCACATCATCACAATCAGCTATACTTTGAGGAGGCATCACTTCCCCAGTCATATTTTTAATGACTTCCAAACCGATAGGCTCATCTTCTGGCACTATATCTGACAATATTCTGGTGCTGAACAGTGTTCCACTGTTATTCATAAGGTTTTCAGTGACTCAACTTTCAGAGGTAGTCCGTCTCTCCACTTCCTAGTCTGTCTTTGTAACCTGTCCATCGTGGGTGACCCCGCTGGTATTTAAAATACCTGTGGCATAGCTTACAGCATCACAGCAACACATAAGCCACCACAGTACAACAGACTGACAGATGACTTTAGAGTCTAATCTCTAATTTGAGGGCATTTTTGTTTCCAAAAAAATGTTAAAAAAATATATTTGGTTCACTCAATTCACAATAAAAGCTTTTAAAAAAGAAGATACACAAAAGTCAATAAGCACCTGAAAATATGTTCAATATTATGATAACTGTTAAGTACTTTCGAGTCGGTTCCAATTCACAGCAACTCTATATAGGCTTTCTGAGGGTTTCATCCAGCAACCTTGCAATTAACTGTTCAAAGTTTATTCTATAGTGCCATACCAGGACCCATCACGATTAAGGAAATGTAAGCTAAAGCCACAATGAGATACCTACATATCCATTAGAATGGCTACACTGAAAAGCAAAAAACCACTTGCCAATTGTTGGTGAAGATACTGAACAACTGGAATATAAAATGGTACAACCAATTTGGAAAATAGTTTGGCTATTTCTTACAAAGTTAGACATACACCTACCATAGGACCTAGTCATTCCAACTGTAAGTATATATCCCCACAGAAAAGAAGCCATGTGTCCAAACAGTGACTGCACCACTTACACAGTATTCACAGCAGCTTTGTAATAACCCCAAACTAAAAACAACTCATATGCTCATCAACAGAAGATTGGATACACAAATTGTGATAAATCCATACAATGGAATATTTATTAATAATAAAAATTTGATAAAACAAAGATGAATCTCAGAATTGTGCTGTGCCAAAAAAGCCAGGCAAGAAAAAGAGGACATAAGGTATGCTTTAATTTATATAAAATTTGAGAAATCACAGACTAACTAATGAATATTGACAGAAAAGGGTCAGGTTATAAAATGGAACAAAACTTTGGGGTGAAGAAAACTAATGTTATCTTGTTGTAGTGTCAAAATTGATCAAACGTTACAAGCTTTATATAGGTGTAGTGCAGTGTTCTTTGATTATATATGAATAAAGCTGTAAGAATGAGAGAAAAATATATATGGTATATTTATTTACATTTATATGACGCCTGAGTAAATGAATAGTGGCTAGAAAGGTATTTTTAAAACAAAAGGTAATGGAATTTTGGCAAATATGCATTGCTCTTAATAGATGATGAAGTGAAGAAAGAAAACAGGTGTATACAACAAGCTAACAAAATCAAATGCCTTAAGTTTGTCAAAAGTTCACTGATGAAACTTACAGAAATAATTCTTGTTTTCTTGGGTGGTAAAGGAAGAGGAAGATTAGATGAATTTCGATTTATGGCAGCCTCTATAGCAATCATTTCTTGTTCATACATCTTCTTGATCTTGCAGCATTCCACGAGTATAAAGTGGGGCAGAGTCCTGTTCATTACACAGTTCCGAATATACTACACAGTGGCATGAAAGAAAGGTATTGTTCACACTTTCAGATAAAGATTGTCAATCAAACATTTAAGTCAATAGAAGAGTAAAACTAGAATGCACATTATGTTGTTGTTGTTAAATGCTGTCGAGTTCGTTCCGACCCATAGTGACCCTGTATAGGGTTTCCAAGAAGCAGCTGGTGAGCTTGAAACCACTAACCTTGTGGCTCAAACGACTTTGCATTCCAGCGCATTAGCCCACAGTGTCACACAAGGACTCTGAACAACATTATAGTAGCTTCAAAAAGTTATCTTTGAATTATCTTTGAATCCATTTTTCCACTAACTTTTTGAAAGTCCCTTATATATTACTTCAGTTTCTCAATATCAAGAATATGAGAATCTAAAATTACAAAACCAAATAAAGACCCATTGCTATGGAGTTCATTCCAACTTAGCAACCCTCTAGGACTGAGTAGATCTGACTCATAAGGTTTCCCAGGCTGTAAATCATTACAGAAGCAGTGCCACATCTTTATCCTGAGGAGCAGCTTTTGGTGAGCAGCTGAGCATTTAACTACTGCAATACCAGGGCTCCTTACAACACATAAAACAGCTACCATAAATTGAAGGCCAGAATGCCTAAAAAAAGCAGATGTTGTTGTTGTTAAGTGCTGTCAAGTCGATTCCGACCCATAGCGACCCTGTATACGGTTTCCAAGGAGTAGCTGGTGAGCTTTATCAATATAGTACTTATGTGTTAAAAGTATATATTTGATACATATATGTTGCCTAATATCATGAGGTGGCAGACTCACACTTCCCCATGATCCCAGAAGGGATTCTAGTACCTTCACTTTACAAGGTCCTAAGGAGCTCTGGTAGCGTAGTGGTTACGATCGGGAAGCGAACCGCAAGGTCAGCAGTTTGAAACTCCCAGCTGTTCTGCAGGAGAAAGATGAGACTTTTTGCTCCTGTAAAGATTTACAGCCTTGGAAACCCTGTACAGGGTCACTATGAGTTGGAACCAACTCCATGGCAGATAACAACAACAACAACAACTGTCTTCCCAGCAAAACAACTATTGCCATTCTAGCTTTGTATGCTGTTTGTTTCCACTAAATCAGAATTACTCTCTAAAGGCATATAAAACGAGTAGATGATTACTCACATTATCAAAGATTCCTAACAAACTGAGTGGGAATCCAATGTTCTTCAGAAGAATAAATTTTCTATATAGATAGTTCTGACTCATAGCAGCCCTGCATAGGGTTTCCAAAAAGAAGCTGCTAGATTTGAACCACCCTGTAGTTACCAGTCCAGTGTTTATCCTACAGCAACATGCAGCTATTATAAATTGTGTTTATGAAGAATTCATAATGCTATAGGAAAAATTATAGCATTAGCTGAAACAGTAAAAAAGCAAAATCTATATAAAATTTTTATGCCAAATATAAATATAACTACAAAGAAAAGTGACAAAAATATGACAAAATGTTAACAATGGTTAGTTATATTGCTGTTGTTAAGTGCCGTCAAGTCGGTTCCAACCCATAGCCACCCTGTATAGTTTCCAAGGAGCAGCTGGTGAGCTTGAACCGCCGACCTTGCAGTTCAAATGGCTTTGCAGTCTGGCATATTAACCCACAGGGCCATTCTAGGACTCCAATGGTTATATGTTGTTATTGTTGTTGTTGTTAAGTGCCGTCGAGTAGGTTCCGACCCACAGCAACCCTGTACAGGGTTTCCGAGGAGCAGCTGGTGAGCTTGAACCACCGACCTTGCAGTTCAAAGGGCTTTGCAGTCTGGTGCATTAACCCACAGGACTCCTAATGGTTATAGAGGGGGCTTCAAAAAGTTTATGGAAATATGGAATGAAAAAAGATAACAAGGTCTGTGATAAGATTGTTGCTGTTGGTATTGTTAAGTGCTGCCAAGATGGTTCTAACTCACAGTGACCTTGTATAGGGATTCCAAGGAATGGCTTAGTGGGTTTGAATAGCTGACACTGTGGTTCAAACCTGCCAACTGCTCCTCAGAAACTCTATAAAGGGTTTCCATGAGTTGGAACTGACTTGACGACATTTAACAACAATAATTCTGTATAGTTGTTTGTAACTTCCAAGTGCTCCACTATATGCACACATTTTTTGATTAGAAATAAAAAATGTTACACACGCATACAAACACACACTTTCCTGGTAAACTGATAGTTGTTAATACACATACCTGGAACTGAATTAGTGGATGATCACCAAACACATACTCTACTCTTCCACTGATTTGCAAGACATAGTCATAGGGGCTAACTTCATCTTCTTTTCCATGAATAGTCAAACGTTTTTGGATTGCCAATTCATTTATTTTTATAGGATTCATATTAGGAGATACTTGAAAGCTAAACACATCCTGAAAGAGGGGGTACAAAAAAGAAACAATTAAATTTTGTATTTGTGCTCTCAAACATCTTATAATAATTATACTTGCACATACTGATTATTCTATATATTTGTACTTATTGATATCCTTTAAATTTTGTATTCCAGTAAATTTTCCTATTTTCATGTAAAATTTCTGATCATTTGCAAGTTACCTTACATTATACTGTAGTGAAATACCACTGTTGTTGTTGTTAAGTGCCATCAAGTTGGTTCCGAGTGACCCTATGTAGGGTTTCCAAGGCTGAAAGTCTTTGCAGGAACAGGAAGCCTCATCTTTCTCCCACAGAAGGGCTGGTGGACTTACGGTTCTCAGTCCAATGGCTATCCTATAGAATCACCATACTCCCACAGAGTACCATAGTTTCTACAAATAAGATTCATACTTAACTGAAATATACTATTATTTAACTATTAGGTAAGTACATCACATGTATTTCTCAGTTTACAACTTTCTAAAAGAATTTGCCAAAAAATCTATAATATCAAATTTAGTTTATTAAGAAAAGAAATGTGGGAGAAAGATGGGGCTTTCTGTTCCTGGGAAGACTTAAAAGCCTTAGAAACCTGATACAGGGTTGCTATGAGTTGGCATTTAAAGACAAGAAAAGAAATACATGATGTTTACTATACGAAGAGAGCTACACTTTTTCACTTACAGAACCATGAAACTGACAATTCTGTTTAATTTTAACATGCAAAGAAAAACACAGACATTTTAAATCAATGAAAAATAGTTATTGAAGGATAATGGATTATGAACTGGGTTGCTAACAGCAAGGTCAGCAGTTTGAATCTATCCATCGCTCTGTGGGAGAAAAACGAGGCTTTCTGTACTCCTAAAGATTTAAAGCTCAGAAACCCTACACACACAGTTGCTATGAGCTGGAACTGACTCAGCACAAAACCACCACCAACAGTAAAGACGGAACATTACTGTATCTGTTCATCAAAAAATCAAATGATACCGCTTTAAAAGATTACCTAATAATACCTGAATCCTCTTCATTTTATAGAAAAGTATGTAATTTCCAAACATATGCCCAAATATTGAAGATATGAGATGCTCACTACTCATCAAGGCAGCTAACTTCTGTTCTGGACAACTGTGATTTTTAAAAATTCTCCATACTGACCTTCAATCCACCTTGCAATATTTTCCATCAGATTAATTCAATTCACCTTTTTTTCCAACGTTGTTGTTGTTGTTGTTATGTGCCATCGAATCAGTTCTGACTCACAGCAAGTCTGGATAGAGTGAGTTTCTGAGGCGTGACGGTGAGTGTGAACCACCGACATTGTGGTTAGCAGTCCAGTGCTTATCTTATAGCACCACATCAGGGTTCCTCTTTTCCATGACGCATTTCAAAATCAAACTTTTTAAACCTAAATTTAATGTTGTTGTTATTAAGTGCTATGGAGTCAGATCTGACTCATAGCAACCCTGTAAAGGGTTTCCGAGTGAGCTTGAACCGCCAACCTTGTGATTCAAACTGACCTTCAAGTCCAGCACATTAACCCACAGCACTACACCAGGACTCCACAGTATTAATGGCTTTACAATAAGGCCTCTCCTATTCTCTTGGTTGTGGTTGTTGCTGTTATGTATCATTGAGTCAGTTCCGACTCATAGCAACCATTTTTGTTTTTAAAATTTCCGAGGAATGGCTGGCGAGTTTTAACTATCAACCTTGCGGTTTAAAATGACTTTGCGGTTCGGCGCTTACACCACAGCACCACACCAGGATAGTCAAATCAATTTCTTCTGAAACAATTAGTCTGTCTGTGATCATCATCCCTACTAATTTTCTATGCTTGAACTGTTAAGTGGACTAAGTTTGTCAGAACTCAGCTTGACTGGATTTCAAGTAACTCTCCAATTTTCCTTTCAATGAAATGACCAAATGAGAATTTTGTACAAATGAGAGCAAAAGAATGTATGTCAAAGTAGTTGTACCAGTTATTAACTGCCATTCAGCTGGCTCGTGACTCACGGTGACTTACGCATAATAGATGGAACATTTTACACCTTTCTCATGATCAGCTGCAAACTGAACAGTTTTCACTGCTGATTTTCAGAAGTAGATCGCCACTCCTTTCTTCCTAGGCCATTTTGGTCTAGAAACTCCACTGAAAGCTGTTCAGCAGCATATCAACAAGCAAGCACCCAGTGACAGTGGCTACACATGAAGCACACTGGCCAGTAATCAAACCCAGGTCTCGCACATTTAGAAAACAAGAATTCTTCCACTGAACAACCACTGCAATGCAGAGTAAATTGTCAGCTGTCCTTTATTCTGAGATGGTGTCATTTCTCCTTTTTGTGGCAGTAAAATATTTTAATTTATAAAATAGTGCTGGCAATAAATTATGGGTTTGCCTAAATAAAAAGCTGTGAACTCTATGTGATTCCCAAAATTCTTTATTAATTTTACTGGTAGTGTAGTGGTTACGAATCGGCTTGTGAACCGCAAGTTCAGCAGTTTGAAACTACCAGCTGCTCCCACGGGAGAAAGATGAAGCTTTCTGCTCCCGTAAAGATTTACAAGCTCGGAAACCTTTTTCAGGGTTGCTATGGGTCGGAACCGACTCGATGGCACTTAACAACAACAATACAATCCACATGTCTAAGAACTATTGGTTTAATCCCTGGGGAAATATTTACCCTGAAGAAGAGACCAGGGAGAAATATGATGGCTATATTTGAACTATCTATCTGCCAAGTAGATGGAAAAGAAGATTGGAAAGATATTTCTCCAAAAATAGAAAACTCTACTTAGATGGGCAAAGGCATAGAAGGGAAGTTTAAATTTAAAACATTTTCATTCGGATTTTAAATGTGTGCTTGCCTACAGTGAAAACATGCTGCTTTGAGAGAGCACTCACATAAGCACTGGATGTATTGGGGCAGAGACTCAGTAATTATACAATTATTATAGAATCTGACTAGAATTTTAAACTCCTTTCAGTTTAAATTCTATGACGGCCTGGAATTCAAAGAGTTCATGATATCTCTATCTTTCTTCTAGATTCAAAATACTTCATACAGAATGTGTTACAATACTGATTACATTAAGATTTGTGTAGTACAGATTTAACCCATCTGAAATGAAGCTCACACTGATCTACATAGGCACATTATCCGAGCCTATGTAGATAATTCAGTGGTTTCAAGCTGAATTCTAATCACCTTTTAACAGTAAATTCTTCACCTTGCAAAATTCCTTAAACAGAATTTTAAATGATTCTGACCTTTTATGGTACCCAAATCTTGTCTTATGTTGACATTTACTCTCAACCTATCTCATGATGATAAAATCAGCATACTTGATACAAAGACAGCAGTATACTCTAATATGTTTAATTGTTGTGAACGTTCATATAGGGATAAACTGCATATATATATTTTATAATGCCCAATTCTATATATGAATATTTAATTCATATCCTCACAGAATGAAATACATGAATGTATTTCAAAATACAAAACATCATTTTGATCAAACCTTTCGTTTTACAGATAAAACAGCAAGATGAGAAAAAATGTATACACAACTAAAAATACCATCGAGACCAAGAGTTGGTCAACTTTTTGTAAAGTAGCAGAGATTAGATATTCTAGGCTTTGCTAACAACATACTCCATTGCTCTGTTGCACACTTTAAATTTTTTTAATTCATTTAAAAAAACAAACTTTGAGTTTCTTGTTGTTAAATGTTGTTCTGACTTACAGCAACCCTGCATAGAGTTTCTGAGGAGCAGCTGGTGGGTTTGAACTGACAACCTTGAAGTTAGCAGTCTAGAGCTTATACTACAGCACCATACCACAACTCTTTACATGCCTTTAAAACACTAAAGACCATTCAAAAACAGTGCAGCTTGCCAAACCTGAAATATACTATCATATTACTTTTGTTGTTAACGTTCTAAATAAAACAGCTAGTGGATTTGGATCACTAACGTTGCGGTTAGTAGTCCAGTGCCATCCTACAGCACCACACCAGGCATTAAGAAATATTTGTGCAAATGATATAGTTAAATGTCACTTTACACTGCGTTATGAGTAATCCTATATCTCTATATTTAATCCCAAACATTCTTTGTACCAGTGCTTACTAGATGCGACTGAAACCGCATAACGTAGTGGTTACGAATCGGGCTGCTAACCTTAAGGATGGCAGTTCGAAACTACCAGCTGTTCCACGAGAGAAACAAGAGGCTTTCTGCTCTCATAAAGATTTGCAGCCTCGAAAACCCTGTGCAGGGTAGGGTCACTATGGGTCAGCACGGACTCCACGGTACTTAACAACAACAACAATCACAAAGCTATGTCTTAAAATAATATAACTCTACCTGACAATTTTCAAAATGAATGGCCACAATGAGCTTTCCTCCATAAAGTTTATCTTCTAAGTTTTCAAGGACAGAAGGTTCATGCTCTGGGGGATATGTCTGCTTTAGCCAGTCCATCCAAGGCAATCCTACAAGTGACTGAATCTTTTCTTCACTGAAACTGCGCATTTTTCTTCTGAATTCATTCACTTCAGGATCCTTCAAGGCATCAAATTCATGGAGACCTAAACACATTTTTTAAACATGTCATTTTGAGTAATGAGTAATAAAAGAGAATATTACACATAGTCAACAAATACAAATGTGGATGTTTGATTTTTATGAAACACACTAGATCAGGCTGAAAAAAAAAACCCATGAAATATCAAAATAATAAGTCCAGTAAAAGAATATAGCTCCTCAACAGAAGACAAACATACAATCACATTTTTACAGAATACAAACTTGCAATCTCTGAAAGGAATATTGTTTGGTTACCAATTTTATAAAGATAATCATTGAAACTCACAGTATACATTTTAAAAACCAAAAAGAAAGAATCCACAATTTTTCTTTATGAACCAAGTGAATCAAGTTTAAAATATCTGGTAAAGGTTAAGAATTTGAAACTTCAAATATCGTATCAAGAGAAACTAAGCAAGCAACTTGCTTGTTCTTGTAGTAGTCAGTAGGACTGCCATTATTGTTTTGTATTTTTCCTGTTGATCTTTCTTTCAAGAAGTATCTTCTGTTCTTCTAGCTCTCCATGCTGGTCTGCTTGTCCTTTCAAGTGGAGATTTCCCACCTCAAAGATTCTGGATGGGATTCATGTCTTATGTAATGCAGAGGCTTTGCAGCAAGTCTCCTTCCCTGGGCACGTTGTAGCCCCATTTTAGTTATTCCAATCAGTTATAGGCAGAAGACAGATTTACAAGCTTTCTATGGTGATATTTGGGTTATTCTTTTCTCTCCCCCTCAGCGTCTAGTTTATAATAGTATGCCAGGGAAACCAAGATTCAAAAGACAGCCTAACTCCCTTCTAATACTAAGACTCAGTGGGAATACACGCTCTGATTGGTGACCACGTTCATCACCAATAATGGAAGTGAGGGAAAAACAGCAATGAAGCTTCAAGTTAAGCCCTACAACATTCAATAGACTCCTGTGAACCCAGTTGGAGACCTGGTTGGCCAGCAGTGTGGCAAGGCCTGGGACTCTTGGGCCCAGAGTCAGTGACATAGCCACAGAGAACTAGAGTGGAGCGTGAAGCGTCCAGCTGATAAGAAGAGAGGGCATATGCACAAGAACACCCACACTTGCAGATAATACCCACTTGACCTGGCTTCAATAACTGGATGATCAGAGCTCAACTAGAAGAAGATGGAAGAGGGGAAAAAAAGAGTATTCTGATACAATTTGATGAATTTGACCTACACCTATGGATGCAGTAGCTCAAAAGAGGGAACAAATCTTTAACAGTGAGGATCACTCCCACCCCATCCACACACAGAGTAGACAGGGACGGGAACTTGGACAGCTACCCAAAATGGGGGAGGGGGGCGGCTACAAAGGCAAGAAGCTCTGGTAGTACAGTGATTACAAATCGGGCTGCTAACCTCAAGGTCAGCAGTTGGAAATCATCAGTAGTTCTACGGGAGAAAGATGAGACTTTCTGCTCCCATAAAGAATGACAGCCTTGGAAACCCTGTGCAGGGTCACTATGAGTTGGAACCAACTCCTTGGTACTTACCAACAACAACAAAGGCAAGAAGTGACTGGTCTACAAGCTTTCAAGAGGGAGCATAGATCCAAATGGCGTGGAGGAAGGTAGAATCTCCACTGAGTAGTATCTAATCTATCTGGCAGGGCTGATGAAAGGAGATGCGGATAGGTCTCTTGTGATACAATAGTGAATATTTGTTATCAGGACTGATTATGAAGGTTGGAAATGCAAAGGTAGACTTTTGTAGCAAAAGGAGAGGAGAGATTGACTTTGCAGTCCAGGAGCGGAGGTCCCTGGGACCATCAAGGGAGAAGAGCAGAGAGCAGGACCCTACCCAGAGAAGCACTGACACCAGAGATGGAGGCAGAGATGATGACCTGGAGAGATGGAGCGGCTGGGGACTTTAGACCCAGAGTGAGAGGGGCTTGCAGGGTATACCCTTTGGTTGGTTGATGATGCATGGAGGGGACTGTAACCATGGCAATAAAACGATATATGATAGGATGAATGTAAAGCTAATGTTTTCCCATGTTAACTATCACATAATTCACAATAAAACATTAAAAAATAAATAAACAAAATAAGTTGATTGGGAAAAAAAAAAAAAAAGATGATGACATGTGCCCATTCCAAAGAGAGGTGAGCCAACAGAGTGAAGAAATCTTGGGAAAAAAAAAAAAAAAAGATCAAGGTACAACATCTTTCAGGAAAAGGTATGTATAGCTTGGTCAGGGCAGTTACTTCATTAAAGGTTCTGTTGCTTTCTTGAGAGAGGAGGCAGCAAACTAGTTCCTGAAGTTAAAATGAAGTAATTGTTTATTGTCTGCTCAGGAGGCATGACCTCACCAAGTGCTGGTGGTAATCATCATATACAAATCAGCAGTTGCAAAAATGACTTGTTAGGTGTATTTTGAGTCAATCTCTCTCTCTCTCTCTCTCTCTTTTTTTTAAAGATATAAAAGGATTCAACAAGCAAGCAGAGGAAAAGTGGGGGAAGAAAGATGCCAAGACATATGGAGATATCCAAGGAACCTGGAAGTAGAAGCTGAACAGACATGGATGTTTCTGCAGAGCCTATAC